TATTGAGATAAGAGGCGTCATGCACCCTGACGCCAGTTATGGGTCTGGGTAGAATACATACCATTTTATTGTCGCATTGTATACATACCTTCAGCCGATGTGATGCAAATTTGCAGTGCCCACGTTACGACAGAGCCAAGATCCTCAAGAAAACCGAGGGTACTCCGCAGTGAACTCTTTTGAACTTGAGAGATTTTGCTAACCATGCGAAACTCTCCCAATCCGGAGCTCAGTTTGTGTCAGCCTGTCACCTTCACTCAACCTCGATGAAGCCTATCGAACGGTCTTTTAACTCAGTCTTGCTGTATTGTAGAATCTACGGGTGGTGTGGTCGATGCTGGTGCATCGAGCTCAACTATGGAATCAATGAGTTAGCTGATAAGAATATGGCTAGAAGCATTTCCATTTTAGGTTTTCGGTGGTTTGGGCCATGGTTGCTAAGTTGTGGACTTTTCTAGTCAAGCTTACGATCATTCTTCGAGAATTTACCAGTTTTTATGCAATACCGCGGTAGGCGCCGGGAGGAAACTTGGTAACGTGATGTTTACATGCGTGAGCGAGTGTCATACTGCACCCGTAGACATACTATTTGTTCAGATCATGCCCAGGTTTTCGGTCCCATTGCTGATAAATTCATTGCAAGGAGATCATTGTAACCTGATCACTGGTGACAGAGATGATTATCTGTGTCGTATGAAGAAATACGCTGATTTGGAGAGTTAAAATGGTATTATCGTGGGACCTGGCACGACCCCAACAGGAAAGGCAGATGTCTTCAGTCAAACAAATTTCCGATGGCTGTCTAGTTAGCCTATGACCACGCTTGATTTTAAGTTTGATTTTCAGTCATACCCATGTAACCGGACTTCATGCTTCAAGGATGCAGCAAACTACTACTTATAAGGGTGAATGAACAAAAGTAAATGTAAAACAAGAAGGCCATGGTCAGCGTGGCATCACTGCCAAATGATGGGTGATATTTGATCGGCTGGTTTGGATTGACAATGATGGTGTCACTCACCTTTTGTGGTTCAATTTCAAAACCGAGTGTATTGAGATCCTTAATGTTTTCGATTGTGAATTCTCCAGCCTAAACGCCCCAATGTAAACAGAAAAAAGTCTGAACTGAAGAGGAATATTGGGCAAGGTTTACGGATGAAAAACATTTGCATTATTCACATGTTGTGGGATGTAATTTACTACTGAAAAAGTACATTTACGCCATCTTAGTGTCTCCAAACTGTGTTTGATAATATGGTAAAAGTATCACCCATTTGTGTTGCTTTTTGTCTATGCAATATCATCGCATTGCGTCGTCCCGTCCGCTTGATGCGGGGTACACATCTTTCCAAACACAGTGTTTCTTTTGGTTTCCTAATTACTCGGGTGTGAAATTGCTGATAAGCCTCACAGAACACTGCACTTGAACAAGTGGTCCTAGAACGGTCCGTTTGGTTAGGAGTTTTGTCGCTTTATTCCGACTGGGAACCAGGCATTCCGAGTACAACACTTTTGATGTTTTGTCCATTTGGAGCTGAAAGTGTGCGGTCAAACCGCCTTTTACTTTCGCATGCACATGGCCCCGAAAAGACAACAAAGCGGACCAGAACGCCTTTATTCAAACAAACACTCAAAGTGACGAAACAGATGTATTTGAGAGAGCTCAAATGACTTCTCTGTTTATGATGTTCTTCAACTGAATGCACCGAACAAAAGCTACATAATGTTTCATTTGGCACGATATCCCAGATATCGCAATATATTTTGTTAACGGGGCACACTACTCATAGGGTTGATAAAAGCTCTTCCATAACCCCAAAACCGGTTAGCCCTTCTTGGGGCTCATGGATTGGGTGTAGTACCACAGGTTCCATCAGGCGTACGCTCTACTTGTTTACTAGTTCCTCAGTTACACACATATTGTTGTTCAACTGGAGTATAAGGCTAAAACCTAATCACTGAACCATAAAAAGGGAGAAACCGGTGATGGGCCTTTAGATGGTTTTCAGCAACCTTACGAGTAGTGTGTTCTGTCAAGAAAAGTTTAGTGATAGAAAGTCTAACTCGTATTTTCTTTTGTTCTTATCTGAATGCGGTCTGTCAAAATGCGTTTGTATGAAGCTTTATAAAGCAAATGTGGACCAGGTTTGGCCATATACCTTTTTGTTCAAGCCATCACTAGATTTCACGAAGCCAACATGTAGCGTATTCCATGGGGACGAAAATGACGGCAGTTCGGCTCGGTTTGTTTCCAATTCTTCTGGGGGCGACTCGTCAGGTGCACTTGTTTGCCGACCGCGTTCCAGACGCATTGTCAAATATGAAGCGGCTTGGTAGTTTGAATTCGTTCGAATATGAAAAATGGAACACATTTTGTGCGTATAAACATTGGACCGGAAACAATGGCGCAAGCAAATAAAAACCTGAACCTCCCACGAAAATAGCATCCGATAAAATTGTCCAGTGGGGAACATTCATTGGAAATCGTCAGAAAACCAAGCGAATATATTTCAAAACTTTGTGCGAACCTTGTGTGAACTTTACGTACGAGTGCCATGGCCTTAGCGTGATGGATAACGGGCAAACCGAATGTCAAGGCAAGAAGCAGCTAATGTGCGCGAAGAGGTGAATTTCAAGCAGAAAACTTTGCAATGAGTAAGTTTGTAGAGCTTAATTGAACGGAGTAAAATAAACGGGTAAGCAAATAAACTGGTAACCGCAATTGGTCGGAGTTAACATCATAACCAACAACGCAGGTAACCAGAGGATTTTGGTACGTAATCGTTCTAAAGGGTTTTCACTTGGACCATGTTTACGTGGTGGATATGGCCTTAAAAATGGAGTGAGGTTATTAGTTAAAACCCGATGAGGTTCTCTGTGGCCTTAGCTGGATAACGGGCAAACCGAATGTCAAGGCAAGAAGCAGCTAATGTGCGCGAAGAGGTGAATTTCAAGCAGAAAACTTTGCAGTGAGTAAGTTTGTAGAGCTTAATTGAACGGAGTAAAATAAACGGGTAAGCAAATAAACTGGTAACCGCAATTGGTCGGAGTTAACATCATAACCAACAACGCAGGTAACCAGAGGATTTTGGTACGTAATCGTTCTAAAGGGTTTTCACTTGGACCATGTTTACGTGGTGGATATGGCCTTAAAAATGGAGTGAGGTTATTAGTTAAAACCCGATGAGGTTCTCTGAGTGGATCTGTGACAAGTATCGAGGTGCTTACTGATAGAGAACTCCAGTAAGAAACTTTTCGGGACAACATTTAGGTAGCGACCATTTCGAAGACGGTCACAGAAAATAACTCGGGACCTGTCCGACCTCTAGGGAACGAAGGTGGGTAACGTAGATCGTGGGTTGTCGAAATCTCCCGAGTGGTTTCCTTCAGGGAAATATGCTGCGATAGCTCGACTGTTGTACCAGCTGAAAATAAGGCGGCCTTTGTGCTGCACATTCAGTTGAAGAATATACTAAGCGAGAGATTCATCTGGGATTTAATTGAGTCTCCCTCTTTAAAATCACACTGGTGTGCAAATAAGCGTGGTTGGCAAATATAGCGTTGTGCAATCCCATCGTTAAGCAGGAACAAAGTGATTGCTCAAGCCAGATTCCCTCGTGGCTGCGTAGTGTTCAAACAATTGCTGCGAATTCTTGAAACGGTCATCCCCGTTGTTTTTTTATTTTTTCGTTCACAGTCACACACACTTTACCATATCTAAATGTCCACATGAATACGCGCCTGCATATGACATGGACAGATTATTGAGAAATGGTTAGGAAGCTTCTATTTTAGGCAACGCACGTCATTGGTTCGGTTCTGAGCCTGCAGAAAGGTGGTTAGCGCACAGTATGTTCGGTTTGGTTTGATCCCATAGAACCCTGTCGGAAAACAGCAAACACAAACACGATTGAAGTTTAACTAACTTGGGTGTGTGAATTGGACGAACGAAAAGGGATTCTAATCTCAAATTTCCATCACTGGAAGAAAACACCCGATGCGGGCTCACCTGTGTCTGCCCCCAGTGCCAACCTACAGTGCAAATGGGGAAATCACCGGTGCAGAGAAGTGGATCACATATTTCTACAGTATTTTGGACCAAGCGCTAACCATGGTTGTCTGATTCGCCGCGATTTTGTCGCGCCAGATGGCCTGCACTTTTAAATTAGAGTGGCGCGGTACATCTCTCAGATGAGGTCAATTGGATCATTTCAGTCTGATGTGCCCCTTATCGTTAGACCGCCGCATTTTGGTTTAAAACTCAGGGTTATTTCGTTGCCAGCTTACAAACTGATGCAGTGTGAAAACCAAAGTAATACCAATTTGTCCATCAAGCTATGAGACAGTTTAGCTCCACACGGCGTTCAAGTATCAAAACCGCTGCTGAGCTGGGCTGATGCACAACGGGTTCATTAGCCACGCCTTTGTTGTACACTGTGAGTTGGTGCCTACGCATATTTCAGTGAACGATTGGGAATGTAGGTTTTCCCTTGGAGCACCGGGACATTGTCAGTTGAATTCATCATTCAGTTTCGGAGGTTCGAGAGTTTGGGCACCGCCAGGTTGTCCAAACCTAGACGGTAGCAGTCGAGATGTCAAGATTGGGCTCGAACAACTGACCATTCAGTCCGTGAGTTTGCGCCATGAGCACTGACCTATCTTGAGCCCCCGTCAGTTCAACAACCCCAGTTCAGTTAAACAACGGAGTTAATCAGTTCGAACTTCGTTGGTTGTTTTCCCAAAAAAATCAATAATGCTAGCTACGGCGTGCGACAAGACAGAGGAAATTAGTGCACATTATACTCAACTGTTTGTCACACTAATCAAAGTTAAGAGAAACAGTTCGGTCGAACAAGAGGGCTCGCAGTCGTCTAATAACGTAGCATAAAACGATTGGTCGATTTCCCAGTCGGGTTAATGTTTCGTATGCTTTAGGTTCCACTGCTTCAAAGTACCGAGATTTTGGTACGAGAGTGACAAAAATGCGTTTGGCAGAGTGCATTCAAACAAGGCAGATGGTCACATAGTTAGTCATATATCTTCGTCTAACCAAGAGCTTCATGAGCTGGAAAGCATTTGTTAGCTGAACAGCGTCTTTAAAGGTCAGTATTTAAGCAGATAGCTACAACCGACCTACACATCCGAAAGTGGCTCATAAAGAAACAATCTTACAGATGCGATACTGAAGAGTTTGCACAAATTATTAAATTATTAAATTAACGTTATCAAAAATCGGTAAATTTATCAAGCAGTTTTATCAGGATAATGAACAAATTATAAATTATTAAATTAACGTTATCAAAAATCGGTAAATTTATCAAGCAGTTTTATCAGGATAATGATAAAAATCATCATCAGGGGCACCATTTTCCTTGTTAGTGTCACTGTCGTCGTCAGTACTACTGTGAGTAGTATAATCCGAATCCGAACTACTTTCGTTTTATTAGTCCTAATCCTGTCCAAGCGACATTCTCCTGGCTAATCGGCAGTGTGCATACTTGGCCGTGCTGAGTCAGGACGAGGACTTTGGAAATGGGCGTGATGTGAATGTGAACTCTAATGCTAATAGCGATACTAAAAAATAAATATTGGTTAAGCTGTAACACACGTTTGGTCCCGAGCACTGGGACTTCCTAATCACTGAATTATTTTGAGTCAAAAAGAAATTATACGCATCCCACTTTCACCCGCACCATTATTATTGTTGTCTCCATTATATTTACTTGTAATTCGTCAAATAAAGCTGTCCTGATGCTCACTTTGCTATCGACTTTGAAGATAAAGCACCCCTAATAGGCCACTCTGTAATGCATCCTTCCGATAAACGGCATGTTGGTTGTCTGAATTTGCCCCGAGCATGTGTGTTTGGTCATGCTACGTCCACTTGAAATTCTAATTTCAAAAGCCTCGTTTTTCTCAAACAGACAAACGGTTTTTCTCAATTTCGCTTCCCAAAAACAAGCGAAATGTTTGTACTGACAAACACAAGTCAAACGAAAAGCTTCATTGGGTGTCTTAAAAAACTTTTTCGCCTTTCGTTGTCCCATGTTTTCAACTCAAGTCGAATGGAACGTGGTGTTTGATCCATCTAGAATTTGCAAGCGCTGATGCTGATCTGGGAAATTTCATGGAAAAATCTACGCATCGTGTTGGTTTGACAAGTGGAGACAGGAAAGCGCGTAATTTATGCATATCAACCAGAACACAGTTGAATCTAGCAAGCAGGCTCGAAAATGGTTTGATGAGTGTCAATGACAGCGCAAAACCTTGTTGAGCTATAAAATCAGAGGTTTTTTCTACGCAAATAGTTGTTTAATTCATGTATGGGATAAGAATTACACTGCTTGGCATTCCGTGTGCTCAGCTAATTTTGGCGGTAGGCAACAAATGTACTGGTCCCCCCCCGACAAGACTGAAGTTTTTGTTTGGCTGACAGATTATCCCTACAGTAAATCCTCTTGCTAACTCATGTAGATTTCGTCTTGTACGTGCAGCCAGTCTATGCTGAAAAGTCGGGAAGCAGTGTACAACTGTTTCATCTTTACTGGAGGCGGTCTTGTTACAGGATGGTTTCGACCAACACGATTTTGGTTTTAGGCTAGTGACTACTGACAGGGTGCGCACATTAGATGAAGGAATCGTTGCGATGTACGAGATAACAAAAGTTGGCCAGCTCATCAAAAGTGTGAGGGCCTACTACCAGTCGCATAAACGTCGAACGATAGCTTGATTTAACAACCTGACTAGAGCTGATTTCATATGAATGGTACTCTTCTTCCCGCTGGTATCACCACCTGTCGAATGGGATTAAGCTCGCCTTGCTTTCTGAAGTACTATCTACCGTATGCTTGAATATCCTTGTGAGCCCCCTCCCTGCGTGAACGATTGACTGAAAGTACCCTTTTTGCATGGCGGGCGCATATAGATGAATTTTCTGACAGAGTGACTGGTACGGTCCTTCTCTTCACTTGTTTTTTTTCGATTATGCAACAGAAAATCCAGCCGAAGAATGCGCCCAACACGAAAAGCTGCGATATATCACACGGGAGGAATAATTGTATGCCGTGGTACTTCCTGCATCAAATTCAGAGTGGCGTGAAGAAATGAACCCGCGTACACAAAGTCTGCGTATTGTCTGTGCGACTCGTCTTCCAGGATTTGGTTCACATGTTCTCTCTGTTTAGGTTTGGAGACGCTGCAAGATCTCAGCGGTGTTCTTGTTGTTAGCTTTTATCCCGATTGATTGAATGGGCGTCTGAAGGTGTAGAAACCTCAAAATAACTGTGATAGGCTAGCATTCATTTCGTTCCCTATTCACTTTTACTCTTTTCTTCTTTCAACTAAGTTATGTAGGCACGCTAGCGAAGCGTTTTATTTGCTAGCGACTGTTGTCTCCAAAGAGTTAGTTATTTCTCGTTGTGGACAACAAGTGAATGAGGGACCGCAACAGAGACCTCGTGAAATGAACAGTCAATTAAAAATCTGAATCATGAGTGGAGTGAAGTTCACAATCTGGCGAGATGAAGGATTAGGGCCGAGACTACTCATACGGTAGCAGCTGGAACCAATGTGCCTATGGGACACTGTTCATGACCGATAAATTGAGTTGACTGAATTGAAATAAATTAAATGGCTATGTTCGGGCGCCCAAAATCACATGAATATGCAATATAAGGAATCAGGAATAGAAGTAAATGAATGATAGTCAGAAAAAAGTGTTGCTTCTATCTAGTGATCCTGCATCATGCACAATCTGTGTGAGGCAAATGTCGATAAACTGACTGGATTCTCCCTTGGGCGTATTGCCTCTAAGAACTATTTTCTCCGGCTAAACGCTGATGAAAAGACGGCCTGAAAGTCATCAGATCCGTCAAGAATTGTGGGAGAGTGTGCCTTGCCGTAACGAACAAATCGCCTTGAACGGCAACAGTTTGGTGCATGTCTGCTGGACGAATTCGAACGTGAACCTCGCCCTTCAGCTGAAGAGGGGAGGGTGTTAGGAATGTCGGACCATCCAGTGGCATTCAACGCTGACATCAGCTGGACAGAAGAGGCCGTTTTTGACCAACCATCCATAGAATAGACCGATACGGTTCAGTCGCAAAGTAAGTACTAATAATTTGGAATAAAATCCGATGGTCTCTGAATCATCCCGGGTGAGTATTCTACAAATGATACTGGACCACGTTCTAGTCATGTACGTGGTCCCTGAACTTTTAGTGATTGACTCTCACAGCGGTCAAGCTTTTACACTCTCAACCTATCAAAGCGAGGCTAGTTTGTTTTGACAAACAGCTCAAGAGTCAGGTGGGTAACTGGATGCGGTCGACTGTCTGCAAGTGAAAGGTCATAGTAGAGACAAACTTGACGGCTGTTTGAAATCCTCCAAAAGCGCAAATCGGTGAATACCCTGGTGCTGCTAACCAAACGGTCGTTAACCCGATCGTTCGACGCTCGACGTAAGGAAAGCATTATTTGACCTATCGTTTAGAATATGACCTCAGTCAACCGAATTCCCGAGCTATGGCTGTCTTTCTGCCATGATAAGTGGTGTATATTTAGACACGACAATCTGAACACTCACCATGTATCTTTACAAATAAACATTCAGTTGGACCTAGATTTACTTCGAATCCCTAATTTGTCTTAAAGATGATTATTTATAGGTAAGTATCAACACCAGCAGATAAAACGTTCCCACACCGTCGAATACCAATAACCCTCACTGCTCCAGCATCCTTTAGATCAGGAGAACGAAGCCAAAAATCGGACAGTTGATAATGAACACTCACCTCTCTCCTCATTTGATTGGCTCATTTCAAGGCCAACATAATCGTTCATCTGACTGTGTGAGTCACTATCCCCTCGCAGACCGACACCATGATCTCCGCCTCGCACATACATTGGCGACGATTTGCAATATCCTCTAACCTGGATTATGTGTGCATTTTGCATCTGAGAGAAAGCGAAAAAAAGATGCCACACGAAGGAAGTAATCTTGATCAATTTTCTCCTGTCGTCTTTTATCATCAGGTAGGATAGTAGTTACCGTAGGATATGTTTCACTAACATCTGAGATCTCTGTGGTCATTGTTCTACTGAGCTCTAAGGTACAAAACCCATTCTCGAATAAACCGACTATAGGTAGATTTATCAGAGTGCTAGTCGGAATTCCGCACGGATCCAGCTTTACCACTCACAGTTAGGCGCCGAGAAGCCTACCCTGCGCAAGTTTGGCCAAAAGTTCGGGACACCTACCGGTTCACCATCAAGCCGGCATCCGATTGGTCGAAAGTCTGGACCCAACAGCTCTTGACTTGATCTTGACTTGGTCTTGGGCGATGATGTATCTTGAGCACCTTTGATGGTTCTTTTGAGGAAAACGCTAGCTTGGGAGGTTCAGACCGAGAACTAAGCTGAGGAAAATACCGTTATTACACAGAGTTTCGTGTCTGACATCAAGCAACATCTTACACTACTACCCATGCATTCAACATCCCAAGCATTGAGGACCGTAATTGTTCGTGCTCAGTTCAACTATTGCTACCGAAACAACACGATTCTACGATGACTGCTTTTTGTAAACTGCCAACTGCCAGAGCAGACAAAAACTACGAATGATTGGATAAATCTAGGATAAGTTCAGAAACTGGTCAATGAGATTCTCAAAAGCTGGATTCCTTGGAACAGCATCGTGTACAGTTGAGATACCTTTGAAATATTTTGATATCATAACAGTGAATTCCAAGCATTCGATTACGGACCGACAGAATTTATCATCCTACTCGATTGTGTCATACACCTCTGACACATTTTATCGAAGTAATTCTCGCGGAATTTATCTTTTAAAAGCCTTCGTGACTTTAAAAACTTTCGTTCCCTGCTCTTCGGTTCAAACAGGTGTAGGTTTTCTTTTTTTGCTTTGAATAAGGCAGGCCGACGGTGAGAGGACGGGATTACATTCCTGTGCTACGCTGATTAAACTGGCAAGCTAAGCGAACAAAGAACAAGCCGGTTGGAAAAACAGGTTAACTGGACAGAAGTCAGTAGGTATATTTGAGATGACATCACTTGGCACTGCGGCCCAACAAGCCATCCGGAAGGTTGACAGAGTTTCGTGAGAGAAACTGTGTAAGAGCGACCTAGCTTTACTCACTTGATTGAACAATTTGAAGACAAGGGTTTCGTGGAACAAATCACTTGGATGGTCCGGTGAAAACGTCACCTTGATGGACTGGGTCGAACCTGTGGATAAAACAGTGCACATGAGAGTAGTTTTGTGGTAGGATACAGAGATGGTGCGAAGCGGAATAGTCGTTTCGAAGGCGATCGATCTGTGGAGTTTCAAAGTACTGTCCCTTGTAGGTGATTGAAGTTCATCAATACACCAAGTATGGCAAGTACAAATCAATGTATCATTTAAGCAAGTGTCTGGTAGAAATCAGGGAACTTGCCTACCTGTAGAGCTCTAAAAAGATTAAACTGGTTTGCTGTAGAGGAGCACGGCTAGTCTCTCTAAATCCTAGTTGGTGAGTGCATGAAGCGAGGTAACTCCTAGAGTGCAGTTACTTGAGGAGGATTTTTGGGCGCAAACGCGGCTGCTCAAAAAAGAGAACGGTCCATTCAGGAGCAGGTGAAATACGGACTGTTCATCGCGGGACATGTGGGAGCGTTTTCAAGTTCATCTACCCATTGCCGTAACATTTTGGTGTGCCCATGAAGGAAGATTAAGCCAATGCATCCGATGACTCTCACAATTGATGGCCTTCTCATGGCATTTCTGTCTTCATATTTTCATAGCATGAATTTGTCGCAATCGGACTGGCAAACCAGTTTCACTATTTCAGTCAAGTGTAAAACAGGAAATTGGCCTAGTTGTTGGGACTTAGTGCCCAACGGGCCGTCAATTTATGGCTGTCATCGTACATTCCGAAGCTACTCCACATCCAGTCGCGGAATGTTTTCCGCACCAAAATATCCTAAGTTCCACGCTGCTTATCAGAACTGGCAATGACTAATGGTGGTGCCCTCTAGAATCTCCCAGCAACTTTTGCAAGCCACTTGTCCACTTGGGCTGATGGGTCACACACCACCCACCTGATCAAAAGTCGGTAATTCACAATCCTATTGTTGTTGAAACTAGTTTATTGTTTCTATTTGCGATCTGCGTGAGTCTATCCGTGACTTAGTGCTCCTCACTTGATAGAAAGAAGTTGAGGAAACGGGAAAGGAAGCGCTAAACTATCGAAAGCGAATGCCTTTTTCTTCTGATTTACGACAGGAAGAAATATAAAGAGATTTTGACAACGTTAAACTTGGCCAATGTGTGGTTTGGTACGAAAAAGTGCAAAAATTCTGTTGAGTAGCCAATTGTCCGTAACAGGGAGGAATACCTTACTTGTTGGTCAGCCCAAGCACGAGTCGCAAACTTGACCCTTTGGTGGTCGTAGTGGGTCTTGGCTTGCGGAGTTGCTTGACGGTGAAGTATGCCGTGAGAAAACGCGCTCTACTGACTGGTGGGCCTGTTGAATGTTGCGATCATAGGTTCATTCTTTCAACGCCCTAGTTTATTTCACAACTCGCCTGCAAAAATGTCATGTGGCGAATTTTTCAACACACACACACACGTACAAAATTCGGCGAAGTCGTCAGAAAGGATGCAATTTTTTTCAAGGAATCACATCTGATGAAAACGTCAGCTGTACGTGGATTGGAAGAGGACAACGTTATTTTTAGCCGGAACTTATTTCCGGTAACTTTTCAGCGGCGGAAAAGGCAATGTTCTTGTTCAACTCATTCAGTCTTACCATTGGACCTCCTCCGAAGCTATCCTTGGTGGCCGTGGAGAAGTCGTCTAAGTATTGTCCATCCTGGACTATGTGAAACCTGCTCATGAGGGGCGAGCGGTCGATGTAAATCAAGTTAGCAGGGCCCACACATACGCGCTTGGTCTTCATTTGTATTCAGAGATGTGAGGTTTTCAACGCTCAGCAATACGGTAGAATTACGCCCGGTTTGGGTGAGAATAAGTGCAGAAAGGAAGCAAAGCCCACTGAAGAGGGGGTTTTCAATTTTGACGGGTTTTTAGTGAAAACAAGGGTTGTTGGACGGACGTAATGCACTAATCACAAGGCTTCTGAAAATTCATTGACAGACCCCGACTGGGTTAGACCTTCTTGGAGCTTATCAGGTAGACGCCGTTCCCGAGGTTCAGTCAACGTTATGTCCATTTTGAAAAGAGTTTACCAAATACAGTCGTTTTTATACCAATTTGATTTTGATTGGAAGCTCACCTGGAACCCAGTTAAATCTCCTGTTTGTGGTGATTCAGCCGGATTCCAGGTGAATCTCCCGTCAAGACCAAATTGATATACAAACGAGTGTACTTTTCGAAGGGTTGTTGTACTTCCGACTTATCAAACTTGACGGAATAAAAGTTTGTAGCTTGAAACAAGGACTTTGCAAGTGGCGAATTCTATCTTACCTCGAGTTCATAGTGAATGTCATCGAGACCACTCGTCGAAGTAATGTAAGAGAGTCAGATTTACAAAGTACTTGATAAACTGCATAGCACCGTAAAGGAATCTTGAGTTGAATACGCCAGAGCCCAACAATACTCACCTGGCTGTATCAATCCTCTGTTCGGATCAAAATGGAAGGCTGGCGAGCCACTTATATTGCTTGTACCATGAGGCTTCACTTCATCCACAACGATAGCGTAATGAACCGGTGCCTCTGATGTGTTTCGTACTTGAACAAACTGCTCTGTGAAGTCACCGGCAATAACGGAGCCACAGTGGAGAATGTGCGAAGTGCATGTGGAGGACTGAAGTGCCGAAGAACCCGTCAATTCAACACTGACAAGAAAGAAATCGATCAAGCATGTTCAACATGAATCGTTTGTTGGGCGCGTGAGTCACATGGCTAAAATCAAATCTCACAACGAAACTAAGTGACAAGTCTGTTTGTACTGATCCTCAACCAGTGTACGAATTTGTTAACTTTGTTAAAATTCGGGATCTGGTTAGCCCTGAGTCGAATAATCTCAAAACACTTCTTTATAGTTGATGCATGTGAAGAAGACCATCAGTCGACAAACGTACCCATTAGAAAATCAATTTGGGTTCAAGCAGAGCATAAGGTTGATGAAAACTCAGGGACTGCGCCTACCTGATGAACTCCAAGAGGGCGAAATCGGTCGTGAGCTGTCGGAGAGTTTTCAGCAACCTTGTGAGTAGTTTCCATTGTGAAAATAATATACTGCGATATGTGCCAACTGAAACATGAGGCGGCCTGTGTGCAGCACATTCAGCTGTAGAATATCATAAACGAGAGATTCACTTGAGTCTCTCGTGAAAACCAAATTGATTTGCAACTCAGTGTATTTCTCGAAAACTGTCCAATTTGGGTTCAAGTAGAACATAAGGTTGACGGAAACTCGGGGACTGCGCATACTTGATAAGCCCTAAGAAGGGCGAAGCCGGTCGTGGGTTGTCGATGGGTTTTCAGCAACCTTGTGAATAGTTTCCCTTATGAAAACCATGAATTCTTTTGAATTTGCTAAGACTTATCAACAGGAGGGATGACGGATAAATTGATCGCTTCATTAAACAAACCCAAGGGAAAGCTTTCCCCTAACATGATAAACAAAATTCTGGACATCACATCAAGGTAACTATCGATTTGTTGGTCACCGCACCTTTAAACTACATTCCTGTGAACGAAAATGAGGAATAATCATAGTGTTCTTGGACAAAGAAACCTTGGTCACCCGTTCACAAGTTCGTACACTGGGGATTGGGCCAACCAATCCGAAATGATTTCAGTCATAGAATGAGGCGCACATGCCAAAATACCATTTATCGAAAGCGGTACGAGTGACTGAAGCGGTAACCAGAAACGTACTTGGTAGAGGCGTGTCAAAGTGAGCAACGTCCGTCTGCTTACCTTTCAGATTGGGTTTCTCGCCCCCCCCCCTCATGTCTTGGACAAAGAAACCTTGGTCACCCGTTCACAAGTTCGTACACTGGGGATTGGGCCAACCAATCCGAAATGATTTCAGTCATAGAATGAGGCGCACATGCCAAAATACCATTTATCGAAAGCGGTACGAGTGACTGAAGCGGTAACCAGAAACGTACTTGGTAGAGGCGTGTCAAAGTGAGCAACGTCCGTCTGCTTACCTTTCAGGATTGGGTTTCTCGTGCCCCCCCTCATGTCCATGATTGGATATGTTGCAAGATATGTCTTCTATTTGATGTCATTGACTGTCATTGCTGTTGGGCTCTAATGACATCAAAACTCGGTTCCATCGCGGGCTCACCGGAACAATGACGTCAGTACAGAAGGAGAACTGTTCAGACGAGAGTGATGTGAATGTGAATTCTAAAACCCTCCAAAGCCATCTGAGAAATCTTTTCTCCTTTACGTTCTACAAGCTTAGCTTGACCATCTGCATGAATGGTGGGTTATATAAAATTTCACTGTTGATTTGGTGTTTATAAAGCTTCTTTCAAACACCTCACGTTATTCATTTTAGATAACTTGTCAAGGAGTATTACAAGAGAATAACAGTTCAAGCTGTCACCGGATGCATCATCCTATCTTCTGGCTCCATAAAGTCCAGTCTCTTGGCATTTCTGACATGTGGAAGTGAAAGCTGATGTGTATTCCCAGAAGCCAAGCCAAGTTTGGTCAGAAAGAGATCACTGTTGTGAAAATGGGGTACCGGAGCTGTCTATGCCGTCAGCCGTCCAGGTTGGTGGGTAAATAACATGGGGTCATTGTGGAGGTGAGTGGAGAAATTCCTTAACAGGGTGGTATGTTCTCTTCTCTAGTAGGGTTTGTAACGCTGACCTAAAACAGTATTGAAGATTATTCCGTAATACCGCATTGAGCACCCTGACAAAGCGTGCTCCTTTGGAGTGATCACTATGCTGATGTGAATTTGAACGGCCTACAAGCGAGGTTATTCGGCATCAAAAAGATCTCCCTTGTTGACACAAAGTGAACGCAAAGCGGGAAACTCATCTGCATTCGAAATAAAGTATAGCTAGGTGGATTACTGAACTTCCGCGTCGCCCAGATTCTTGCTATTAAAGAAGAGGCCATCTAATAAACCAGTAATTTCAAAGATATCAGCCAGCAATGCATGTGTGGGGCTTTAAACTGAGATCAGAGTGGCGTCATTCGTATCCACCTGTTACAACGGAATACGCATTCTTTATAAAAGTATCGTAATTCACGGCTTAGGGACGAGTTTTCTTGAACAGTTTTTGGCTCACAAACCGTGCAGTGGCTCCAGCCGAAACAGTTTCGTCCAACAAGGATAGGGAGAATGAGGAACTGAGGCGATGGCTTATTGGTGCATTGATGACAAATGGATCTGAATTTGGAGCTGAGAGCAGCCCGCCCCAACGAAGGATAGAATCAATAGATGTACAAAGTGGGTGGAAATAGGATGACAATGGTGGGTTAACTATAAGGAACAAAACCGGTAGGATTCGGCTGGCTTGTCATCATTCCCTTTTGATGGCGTATACTACTGACGTTAGCTGCAAGTAGAGTCAAGAACAACCCAGTGACAGTCTTCAAGAGAAGCCATGTAAAGTAAAAAAAACGATGGAACATTTTGCAACGAAATTCTCTCAAAGGATGTTTAAGCCTCAAAGAAATACATTTTAACACCATGTACTTCAATCTGTTTTTCATCATCACCTATGCTTAGTTGGACAGTTAACGTTACATTGTTGTTGCGTTCTTTTATAGCGTAACGGTGATTCGTATCAATGAGTATACTTCGTTGCGCTGTGTAACAGCTCACTAAAGATATCATCTCGGTTTCTGATGAATTAGTTACAAAAAACTACCCCCCTCAACAAGGGAACACACAACTTCAACTGGCTATTCTTCAGTAGTCTCTTCCATCTGTTACTGTCCTCACGGACCTGAAAAGCGACAAACGACTTTTTAATCCTGAGTAACCTATGTAAATACCAACTAGGAATCATGAACGTTCTTCAAATCTGAGATAAAATTCTACCTTGATGAGGTGTAAACAGCTGTGATTCATCCATTTTCGTTGTATCGTTCCAAATGTCATGCCGAAAAACCTATGCGAATGGGCTACATACAAGCGATGGTTTGTACGACTTAATCGGAGGCCGTTTGTTTACGTTTGTCCTGTCTGAACCGCATCGCATCCACCACAATTGAGTGCACTTCTAAAAATTGCACCACAAAGTTGTGAACACTGTGCAGACACATCAACCGTCACGAAGAGACTGGACCTTACCGTGGTGTGGCGGTTTGTGTACCTTGGAGACCCATTGAGCTATACTAGGGGGTGTTCGCGCGACACTCACAGAGTCTCTCATACCAGGTTGGTCAATGGTTAGAGGTCTGACGAACACAGTCTCCTGGCCCTCCAGGTTGGGGGTTGGAACATGTATGGCGACGTGTTCCGTAGAAAAGTTAATGCATTTGCATTTCCCCGCCAAACACCGCTGCCTTGCGGTTAGGCTTTGGAGTTAAATGCTTTGGTTGAGGACTCTAATAGTTCTCCTGTCTAGGTGTGGGCGCCCTGGGAGTATCCCAGCCCTCGTACAACCATGACCTACACAACTAACAACAATCTCATGCCACATCGGCCATAGTGTGGTGCCATCTGCCGGGTCGCCTCACTTGCTGCATACAGCAGGGCGGGTAAGCGAATATATGCTTCCCTTCTTACACTTTCACGTTTTCCGTTTTCCACCCTCCCCCGCCCAAATTTGAATACT